GTACTGGGAACCGAACTCATGACCTTGCACTTGCCAGGCAGGCGCTTTGCCGCTGAGCTAAATCCCCAGCCCCAACATGGCTTTATGTTATAAGAGAACTTCCAAGTGCTGTTGGGGTTTATGTTCGGCATCCTTAATTGTCATGATGACCCGGTGTGGTGGCACATGTCTGTAGTCACAGCACATGGGAGGCTGAGGCAGGAGAACTGTTGTGAGTTCGAGACCAGCCTGGGTTACAAAGTGAGCTCAAGGCCAGCCTGAACTGCAGAGGGAGACCCTGCCTATGTCAAAAAGATGACAAAAAAAAAAAAAAATTGTCATGATGGGTAATATTTATTGGTTGTAAGAGGTCAGTGCACTAATTTTAAAGAAGTAAGCAAGTCAAAGTCTAGTGAGGTCAGGTGCAGTAGTGCAGATCTACAGCCCATCTTACCTACGAGACTGAGGCAGGAGGATCACTTGAGCCAAGGAGGTGAGGGCCAGATGGTCTCAAAAAAGTGAGGAAGAGCAAAATGTATAGTATTTTCCAGACAGAAAACCGCGCCTCAGCATACATTTGGCTGGGTTAGAAGTAGGTGTCTGTAGCTTAGAATGGAAAGAGGACATTGCAGAATTTACACTTCAGACAGGTACTTGGGGGCTTGCACGTTGTGCTAGATGAAGTCCGGACCTTCCTTCGGTGGGTGAGGAGGAGCAGTTGAGCATACTGGAAGAGACCGGGCTCCTGGTGCAGGCAGAGAGGCAGCGGGCGGGCCCAGAGACCTGGAGGTCAAGTGTGGAGGCCAGGGAGCCCATGGCACCACATGTGAATGCCCTGAGAGACTGGTCGGCACTAGGTACAGAGGGAAGCGGAGCAGAGAGTACCCATGAACTGTGGGGCAGGGATTGTCTGCCGGAGTGAGCATGCCGCATGTGCATTGCCCTTCCCTTGGAGGGGTCAGGTCTGCACCACAGGAAGGTGTTGTGTAGACTTGGTCACAGGGTTTGCAGGCAAAAGCGTTTGTGTTTGCAGAGAGGCTGTAAGGGCAGACCGTGGCCCCTCCAACTGAGGTGATCTCTGTTACAGGGTGTATTCGCTCTTGCATGTGTGTCTTTTTGAGACAGGGTCTCACCATGTCGTTCAGGCTGGCCTCAAACCTCGGGGGTTCTCCTGCTTCACCCTCCCAAGTGCTGGAATTAAAGGTATAAAGTATATTTTCAAGCACTAAAAAATACATTGTATCCAAAAGTTGCTGGCTCACGGCCTCATTTATTTATGGAGAGTTTTTTCGTTGATTATAGGAACCCTGAGTTCAATCCCCATTGCAGGGTGCGTTTCTCGGCAGCCAGCCCTCCACCTGGCCCACAAGTGTAGCACCTGCGACCCTGAAAGTTCCCAGATTCAGCCTTTTTGTCGGGAACCAGATGCAAGACCGAGTACTAGAAAAATGGGAAGAAAATGTTACCCACGAAGGTTTTAGGAGCCTTGTGTCTGAAGGGAGGGTGTGTTGTAGCTGTATCTAGATGTCCCCGCAAGGCCTCATGCGCCCATAGGCGCGGCTTCTCAGAGGTGACTGGATCGAGGGTGTGTGGGATCATGGGTATGTGATTACTGCATGAGCCCACTGATGTGGGTTTGGCGTAGTTCTGGATGTGGATAAGGGGAAGGCCCACCCTGGGTGTAGGGGGCACTACCCACAGGGTGTGGAGCGGGGGAGGGGACTGGGTGGGAATAAAGGAGAAGGCTGTGCTGCAGCTGCAGCTTTGCTGCCTTCTGCCAGCCGTGAACTGTGTCTCCTGCCTTGCCACCCTGGTTTGGAGTCACCCAACGATGGACTGAAGCCTCTACAGACCGTGAGCTACAGTGAACCTTTCTTTCCTCCTTTAACTCTGGGTCTCAGCATTGAGAGCGGACGACTCTCAGCTTGGGGAATCTGTGCGGTCTCTGATCCTGCTCTTGCTGTCCTCGCCAGGCCTTACACTGCAGTTTTGGTTTCCTTTTCTTACACCAGCTAGCGTCTTTGGAACAGTGATGGTAGAAGGGCTTATGATGGTATCTTTTGTCAGAAGGTATGTCATTACCCTCACCAAGATAAAAGACAGAACCCCTGCTTAGCACGCGGAAGACCCTGGGTTTGAGTCCCAGCATCAGAAGAAAAGAAATTTCTAGTCTTAGTACAGTTCTTTCAGCAAATGGTGGTTGGAGTTTTAGGAAAAACTCTTACCTTGCATCTGTGAATGTGAATGTAATTTTTTGTTAATGGAGTAACTTCCCATATTTCTTTGCCACTTTGACCATGGCATATTATTAATATTGGTGCTACCAAGGATCAACTTGAGGCCCTCAAATCTTTTTTTGTTTTGTTTTGTTTTTGTTTTTGTTTTTCTCCGGTACCAGGAACCAAACTCACAACCTTGCACTTGCCAGGCAGGCGCTTTGCCGCTGAGCTAAATCCCCAGCCCCACCTCAAATCTTTTTTTAAATTTAATACTGAACGTTATCTTTATTTTTATTCTACTTATTTTTCTTTTATTTTCTTTTTCCTTTTCTTTCCTTCTTCTATTCATAACAGGGTCTGTCTGATTTAAACTCACTGTGTAGCCCAAGCTGGCTTCCAGCTTGCAATAATCTCCCTGCCTCAGACTCCCAGATGTTTGGATTGTAAGTGTGTATCTCCATGCTCGGCTGAAAGCTACAGTACATCGCAGAAACACATTGCTGCCAGTCATAGTGCATGCTTGTAATCCCAGCACATAGGAGGCTGAGGCAGGAAAATCAAGGGAAGTTGGAGGCCAGTCTAAACTACGTAATGAGTTCAGGCTGGTCTTGAGCTCACTATGTAGCCCAAGCTGGTCTTGAACTCCCAACGATCCTCCTGCCTCAGCCTTCCGAGTGCTGGGATTACAGGCATGCACCACCACGCCCGGCTTCAAAATTATTTTAACCCTTTAGAATTGGAGGTTTTTTGTGATCTGGGTCCATGTTGGTTAAAATTCTCTGTGCATTGGAGAAGCACGTCTGTTCTGCAGCTGTTAGGTGTACTGTTAATAGGCTGGGACTTCTGTGGTTTTTAATCTTCCCCTCCCGTCATCTCTTTCTTTATTTTTTTATTTTTTGGGTTTTTTTCCGGTACCGGGACTCAAACTCACGATGTTATGCATGCCAGGCAGGCGCTGTGCCCCTGAACTAAATTCCCAGCCCCCCATCATCATCTTGTGAACAAGGTAGTCGCTTGCCTCTCTGAAGACAGCGACTCCAGGACAGTTTGTTGGGGCGGTGTCCTATTACAAGGTCAATAGAAGGTGGCAAGCAGGATAAGGAGCTTGGGGCTGGTGCTGGCAGAGACCACTAATGCCACCTGAATGCCACCACACTGCTCAAGGGCGTCGAGGGGAGTTGGGAGCCCATCTGAGAGGTGGCACCAGGTGCCCTACTTTTCTGACACATGGGCTGCCCTCACCTTGCAGGTTGCTGGGTAGTCTGGCTTCTGGCATCTAAAGGTAACTTAGGATTGAAGTCTTATGGCTCTTGTCTTCGTTCCTTTCCCTTGAATAGCTGACTTGCAGTTCATTACTAGGATACAGGAGGGGTCTTTCCCTGAGCACAGGGGCGGTGGTGAAAGGCTTCCCATCCCCAGGAACATGGACGTGTGACACCTGCAGACAGGGGAGGCGGGGTCCCCAGGGAGCAGTCAGTGACAGGCAGGGGGCTCTCCTGGCGTCATCTGCAGGGTGCTAGTGGGAGACAGAAATGTAGTGTTTGGCGTGTGACTAACAAAATTTATGTGTTTTTTTGTTTGTTTGTTTTTTTCAAATCAACTAAGGGTACATGAAACTGGAGGGTTTGTTTACTTCAGGGTTCTGTAGTTTTAGTATGGAAGGGTTTCTGATGTCGCCTGCTTGTGGGTTTGTTCATTTTAGATACACCGGAGTACTGTTTGTGAGAATGTAAATTACTTCAGCCTCTTCCGACAACAGTTTGTATCTTTTGGCATGTTGGTTTTATATGCAAGAATTGTTAGAAACAGTCAAATGAACACTTTTTCTCAGCTTGGCGTAGTGATCCTGTAATCCCAGCACTTGGGAGGCTGAGGCAGGAGGATCACAGCAACTTACCAGGAGCAGAGAGGACGATACCATTTCTCTACACTCATCCAGCACTTCCAAGATCACATATGTGGAATTTCCCCCCTTCCAACCAGTTTTCTAATTCTCTACAGACACCGTTTGGGTGGGACCAGATTCCATAAGTTAAAAGGCTCAGTTCCACACCACTGCTCCTACTTGATACCAGGAACAGGCCTGGGCCTCACAAATGAGTGACCCACTGGCTGTAAATTGGGAAACCCTATGAGCTCCGTATTTGGATTTGACAGTTTGTTAGAGTACCTCACATAGCTTGGGTGAACGCATTACTGAGACCTACTGTTTTATGAAGGAGATCACACATCAGCCAGATGGGAGTGAAGTATAGGGAAGGCTTGGTGATAGGTGAGGTGGCCCTCTCGGAATGTATCCTTCCTGGCTCCACCAGGGGTTTGCTAACCCTGAGGCTCATTGAATTGCACCCATTGTTAAAAGACTGGCACAGTGGCATCTGTCTGTAATCCCAGGTACTCAGGAAGATCATGAGTTCAGGGCCCAGGCTGATCCTCTTGACTCAGCTTCCAAAGAGGCTGGGATTCAAGGTCACATGTTTTGTTTTGCTTTTGAGTCAGGTTCTTGCTATATACAGTTCAGGCTGGCCTTGAATTCACTTATTTAGTCCAGGCTGGCTACAAGCTCGGTGATCCTCCAGCCTAAGCCTCCGTAGTACCACTGTTCCTGGCCCACATTTATTTGTTAAATAATGTTTTTATGCTTAGACATGTTCTGAAAAGATAAGGTAACTATGTATATGTATATCCCAGGCAGGTGGACAGTTTGATTTGTGTTAATTTTCAGTAACTATGATCATTAGCTACTAATTCTCTTAAGCGTTATCTAGAACAGCATTTCAATAAAAGATCTTTATCTTACAGGTTACTGACATTGAAAGCAACAGACTTTGGCTACACCGACCACTCCTGTGTCAGATCAACTATGAGTTGGAATACACAGCCACAGAAGGCTCCAATGCCACCCCCGTATCGGAAAACCCAGCCTGCCTTTTCTCTGCAGTACACTGTGAACCAGCTTTCCACATTGTCTCAGAGTTCTTTCAATTGTCCTGCAAGTAACCAGGAAGCCTGCATGTACCTCAGTAATTCAAACACAGTGTCGCAGCCACTGCCAAATGTCAGCAATTACAGTGTTCCTTTTCAAATCCCTGCTTCAAATATGCCTAGCAGGACAGTGGTGGCCTCTCAGACTCCCGTAGAAAGAACAGCATACACAAATGCTAAGGGAGCCACGCAACCAAATCATAATCTGCAGGTGGCTTCAGGAGTGATGGAAAACCTGAGGTTGAACTCATCAGTGATGAGTTCTGAGCCTTCTCCAGTGGAGGCCACAGTGTCTCACCAAACTCACTTTGGAACTAATCCAGCTAATTCACACGCACTGCAGAGTCAACATACAGCGTCAGACACCTGCTCCGTGCAACTGCAGGTGACTCCAAATTCTGCAAGAGTCCCTGTAGCTTTACAGGGAAGCCAAGGATTGAACCAGTCGTTACCAAATCGACAGGTTGATTGGCCACAGCCGCACGCGTCTGATGTTGTGACGTTCTCGGACTACAGAACACTGCCAAAGCAACACTCTTACTCGGCACAAAGCTTCATGCAGGACGCTAATGTTCTCAAGAACGTCCTTATGCCTTCAGCACCGTCGCAGATCACATATAACCAGCTCCCAGCTTCTACCCAGTCTAACCAGGCTGCAGTGTTATCTTACCAGTATGCGTTGCAAACCAGCACAAGGCCGCCGCCTCTTCTTCCTCCGTACAACTGCAGGTACAGAACCCAGCCCCTGCAGAGCGCCCCGCACGTCACCAAACACCTGTCCATGGAAGTTCCTCAGAGTCCAGAGACACACTCTTCTGAAGGAAAGAAAGACTTCTGTCAGGGCTTTCAGCAGCAGTGGCAAAGCACTAATGAAAATGCCGCAGCATTTGGAAATTTCTGCGGCATAAAAGGCGATGCCAACGTCAGACAGCCTTTTAGTGAGCCCACTAGATCTATGGGTGGTGTTCAGACTCCTTTGCAAAACAGCCAAGAGAAGAGAATAGATTCTTGCAATCCAACTTCAAGTCAAGGACTGGACACAGCTGTTGTGAAAGAAAAGCTAGCCAGAGACATTAAATCATTAGTAGAAATCAAAAACAAGTTTTCAGAACTTGCAAGGAAAATTAGGATTAATAAAGATCTTCTGATTGCAGCAGGTTGTAAACCAGTTAATAATAGCTTGCCCAGTGAGCCGGCTCAGCACACTGAGTTCTCGGGAAAAGAGGTACCTGCTAAAAGTCCCTGTTCCATGGAACTGGTAAAAACATGTCTTAACCTTTGGAAAGACAAACCCTCGAAAGTGACAGAAAAGCCTTCGAACCCTGCGGGAGAAAAGCAGGCTAATGAAGCAATGACAGACACCTCAGCTGCAGCTTCAAAGCCCCTTAAAGTCCCTACCCAGAATGCTTGTTCAGTTGAGAGAAATCCTCAGAACAAATCCGTAAACCCATTGCAAGAAGCAGCTTTGTCCGTGCTAGTGCAAAATTGCGAGCCTTTGTGTGCAAATGTAACAAAGGGGTCAGAGCTCCAGATTGCTGTAGTGTCTCCCTTGATTCTCTCAAATGTCATCAAGGAGATAACACCCGAGACACTGCCTGAAACGGTGTATCCTGTTATCAAAGAAGGCAGCATTTGTACCCTGCAGAACCAGCTGCCAGAAAATGCAGTGGTAACTGCTGCCTCGAAAGCTGACGTTATCGAGCCGGTGGTGGGTCCAGCAACACCAGCCAGGCTTTTCCCCATGACTCCGAAGGAAAAGCAGAATGAGCCAAACAGTGGCGATTCACAAGACACTCCCAGTACGCGTGAGGAGCAGGGCTGTCATCTGAATGGTTCGCAGACCTCATCCAAACCAAAAGACAGAACTCTTGTGAATAGTGATTTATTACAGATTGAAAGCATCTGCTCTCTTGTTGAAGGGGACGTCTCTTATAATTCCAAGATTGCAAAGATATTCAACTCTTCCCCTTTGAAAAGGGTTGAGCCCCCCCAAATTTCTCTCCCCAGTCAGCAGGTGTTTAGTACTGGACACCAAGAAGAACGTGTGGAACAAGGCGCTGAGAGTAAAGGTGATGAATGTGTGCAGTACACAGACTTGCCATGTGCAGGAGCCGTGGAGAGGATGGAGGAAACGCTGGAGCTCGCAGGCTCTGCATCAGTTAAGCCTGTTGAGCCAGGGATTCTAGAAAAGAGGACCCCTGAGAATGTGGGCATGCCCGAGGACGCCCTTTGCTCTCCAGATGCTGCTGCTCAGCAGGATATTAACTCTGGGGACATGGGCGCCTCTGGTGGTGACCCTGCCCAGCACCCTGCAGCAAGCGAGAGTTGTGATGACCGCACCGTCTACCTGCGTGACCAGCTGTCAGAACTTTTAAAGGAGTTCCCTTACGGCATAGAAGGTCTGAACTCATATGGGAGTTTTCTGAGTCAAAAGAAGACAGAACAGGTCTCAGAAGATCAGGTCAGTGGTAAAGTCAGTTCTGATGCTAAGGGACCCACAGACCACATAAAAATTACAATACTAAGCTCAGAACAAATGAGAGAATTATTTCCGGAAGAGGATGAACCCCATGCTGCTGACAAACTGGGACCCCCTGAGGTAAACAAGTCTGCAGAAACTCAGAAAGAAAAGCATGTGGCGGAAGTCGGGAGCCAGTGTGACCCACAGACACCCACGGGAGGAGAAAGTCCCGATTTTGTAGGGAATACAGACAAAATCCATTGCTGTGCTCTGGGCTGGCTTGGCATGATTTATGAAGGGGTCCCCAAATGTCGCTGTAACCCTGTGGAGAAGCAGCAGGCACAGCAGGCCTTGTTGGAAACCAGCAGTGGTGAACAAGGACGGCCAGCCTCCCACGCAGATGTCACTGTTGTTAAATTTGATGGTGTTTCGCCTAATCCAAATGTGCCTCTGGCTGCTGCAGCTGAGAAGAGACAGTTTCATAAGATACACAGCAACGACATAAAAGATGCATCTAAAACCAGCAAGTGCAGTGCACCGCCAAGCAGGAGACAGGAGCTACTGGCTCAGGTTCCACCTCAGTGTAAAAGCCAGGATAGAAAAGAGGCATCTGAAACAAAACAGGGTGCCTCGGCAAACGTGGAGCAGCAATTAACTGGCCAGTTTTCATCCAACAGTGATGAGCGAGGTTCCTCGCAAAGGATCAGAGGAGTAAAAAACTCTCATGAGGTAGATTTCCAATCCAGCAGTAGAACATTTTCTGGCCAGGCTTCTCAGGAAGGTCCCAAGCAGAAACACACCCCACAGAGCTCGCATCCGTTAAACCTCAAGATGGGTCTTTTCCCAAATAAAGGTTCCTGTAGGAGGAATGGCTCTTTTGTACAGTCCTTGTCTCCGGAAAAGAAAAAATTAAAATTCAAAGAAAGCGGTCCCCGAGAAGGACATTTGGAAAAAAGGAAGTTAGAACAAGGGGAAATACCAGGTTTGGAGATAAAAAAGAAGCGGTGTAATAAACAAGAACAGAATAAAAATGTGGGCGTTGCACACAAGTCATGTAATAATTTGCCAAACGCAAATGAGCGGGCCATTGTTAAGGAAGATTCAACATCAAATGCCAAGTCCTTGGACTTCAAGAACACAAGGGAAAGAGGCATAGTCAGAGACAAGACAGTATCACAGATGCAGTCCTTAGATGCCAAGGACACAAAGGAAAGAGCCAGCATTACAGAGCAGTCGGTATCTCAGGCACAGCCCTCAGACCTCAAGGACACAAGGGACAGAGCCACAGTTAGAGACAAGACTGCATCACAGGTGCAGTCCTTGGATGCCAGGGACAAAAGAGAAAAAGGCAGCATTAAAGAGCACTTGGCATCACAGGTGCAGGACACAAGGGACAGAGCCACAGTTAGAGACAAGACTGCATCACAGGTGCAGTCCTTGGATGCCAAGCACACAAGAGAAAGAGCCAGCATTAAAGAGCAATCAGCATCACAGGTGCAGGCCTCAGACTTCAAGGACACAAGGGAGAGAGCCACAGTTGGAGACAAGGTAGTGCCACAAATGCAGGCCTCAGACACCAAGGACCCAAGGCAAAGATCCTCCACTAAAGAGCAGCCGGCATCACAGACACAGACCTCGGATGCCAAGGATGGTCCGTGCAGCCTTAAGAAAGTGATAACACTGCAGGAGTACTTCCAGAGGAAGAAGCAGAACACAGCGGTGGCTCAATCAGCCAAGAAAATTTGTTTGGAAAATGTTTGGGGCAATTCTGCATCCTTGGGCTCCACAAAACTTGGCACACAGATGGAGAGTTGCAGGAGATTGAATGGTAACGTCGGCGGCACCGGGGAGACCTCCAAAGAGTCCTCCAAAGTTGGTACGAACCATGGTAAAAACCTTAAAGCCCACCTTCCTGAGGAGTCTAAGACATGCAGCCTCTCCTCACATGCTGAAGGAAGACTTGATGGGAAACAGCCGTCCAAAACCAAATTAGACAAAACTTTAAGCAACATACCCAGTGAGATCCCTCCCCAGGGGAAGGAGCAGAGGAAGTCGTACCTGAACCGAATGAGCTTCAGGTGCACGGAACGCGAGCGGATCTGTCTTACTACGTTTAACAGCTCCTCCTGGAAGCTTGGGAGAGACGAGAAGAACCAGGAACGCAAGCCCAATACCTCTTTCTCGGGGAAGAACTCCGCTGTAAGACCAGGCCTGCTGGAGTTTAAATTATGCCCGGATGTGCTGTTAAAGAATACAAACTCTGTTGAGGACAAGTCTGACGTCAAGGCTTATCCCGAGGAGCAGGCCGCTGTGCAAGGTCTGGTATGATTTTCTTGGTTGCGTGCATGGCGTTGGAACAGGGTGTCTAAGTGGACACACAGGCTCGCCTGCACCTGTCAGGTGCCCGAGACCAAAGAATCTCTTATGCAACGCCTCACCATGTCTTTTCCTCATCAAATCAGTATTTCATCCGGCAGTGTTTGTTTTACATTTTCTATCCCTTATTGAAGAGGATAGTAAGTCAGGAGTTTATGAAGTCAGAAAAGTGTCAGGTGTGCATGTGTTCTGAAAGTCTTAAGTTTTGTTAACTTTTTGCCTTTGAACTTGTAATTTCAGAGCAGCCCTGTAGGTTTGAAATTGTGTTCTAAATATTTGGAGGTGAGGAATGGTTAATAATGAAGCCCTTTTGTTAACCAGGAAATGGGTCAAGCTTTGCTCATCTTGAAAACAGCTGCTGACTCTGTGGTCAAGCTAGTGTTCACCGTTCTGAGAAAAGCGGTGCTGTCCAGCGCAGTCAGTGACGTCTCAGAAACTTGAGTGTCGTTGGCTGCTAGCAAATAAGCACTGGCAGGGTGATGGAGGAAATGCAGTGACAGTTGTTTAATTTAGGGTTATACGCATTGTAAATTTATTTCTCGGTTGTAAGGTGTTCAAGCACCGGAAACAGGAAAAGTAATTTTTCTAAGCCCTTTTTAGTTAGCTGTGGATACAGTGTATCTTAATGCCATCCAGAATCTGTTTTAGGCTCATGTGCCTTTTCTTCATTGTACGATAAATGAAAAGCAATAACCAGCAATCTGAAAATGAATATTTACACAGTTTCAGGAATAAAAAGTTCAAGACAAGACTGGATAAAATGTGTAACTGAGAAGAAACGGATGCAGGAAGCCAACCAAGAAATAGGTAAAATCGTCGGTTTAAAATTGTATCTTACTAGTGTGCTAGCCTGTCGCATGTAGGTGGTGTTGTGCTTGTGATGTACAAAGTATGATTCTGTGCATTTTCTTGTTCATTGTTGGTGTGTAGAGACAGGATTTTCTCTGTCCTGCTGAGGAATGGGAAGCTGGAATGTTCCTCCGTTTAACGAGAAAGTAATCCCTAGCAGCAGGGCATAGTGGCACCCGCCTATAATCCCAGCACTCCTGAGGCTGACCCTGGCGCATTGCTGTGAGTTCGAGGCCAGCCTGAAGTGTATAGACCCTGTCTCAAAAAACAAGAAAAGGGAAAAGCATCCCCAGCACATTGAGTTGAGGATAGGTTTTGCATATTTTTCTTGTATAGGATCAGACAGTAAATATTTTTATGTCCTGACTGCTCAACACCACCACTGTATCAGAAAGCTATAAAGCATGGTGGCTCATGCCTGTAATTCCAGCACTTGGGGAGGCTGAGGCAGGAGCGAGTTTGAGGCCAGCATGAGCTACATAGTAAGACCCTGTCTCAAAAAAAGGCTGTACTTAAGATATAAAATAAGCTGGGTATGGTGGTGCACTTCTGTAATCTCAGCACTCAGGAGGCTGAGGCAGGAGGATCACTGCGAGCTTGAGACCAGCCTGGGCTACAAAATGAGTTAAAGGCCAGCCTAAACTGCATAGCGAGGCCCTGTCTCAGAAAGACAAAATATGTATGAGTATGTTCTAATTAAATAAACGTTACTTAGCAAAATAGGTGGCAGGCTAGACTTGAACATGGGTCAAAAGTTTGCCAACTCCATTGGATGATTTGGACTTCACAACGAGGTAGGCAGGATGTCTCCATTCTGTAGATGAGAGATTAGACCCTTTGACCTAAGGCAAATCCTGTCCCCGCTTCAAAATCCATAGTGTGTGGTATTTGAGGTACTTTGCACAATGACAGGCTGGCCGTCCTAGCCCTACCGTATTTAGTTACTTCGCTGGGGAGGTTGTTAGTGTTTTGGTTTTGGTTTTTGGTTTTGGTTTTGGTTTTTTGAGATAAGGTCTCACTGTGGAGTTTAGGCTGGCCTTGAGCTCACTGTGTAGCCCAGGCTGGTCCTGAACTTGCAACGATCCTCCTGCCTCAGCCTCCTGAGTGCTGGGATTACAGGCGTGTGCCACCACACTTGGCCTGGTGTCAGTGTTTTGGAGCCAACCAGAAAAACTAAAACTGTCAGCCTCTGGCTTATTCGTGGCTGATGTACTTTGTTTTGGGGATTTTGTGTGGAAAATCTGGAGGTAAGCCTGTGTTGGTATATAAAAAGAAAAAAGGGTACATATGTGTATATGGGTACATATATATTCTAGTATTGCGTGTTCTAAGAATGGCTAATGATGAAGTCCTCCTTTTGTTAACCAGGAAATAGGTCATGATTTTGGCATCTTAGAAACATTCACGGAATCTGTGGTCACTAAGGCTCGCGTGAGCCCTTCTGAGGGAAGAAGCGTAGCGTCACGTGCATGTGTATATATATGTATGTGCGTATGTACACGTGGGTCCCCGGCCGGGGCTGCTGCCCAGCTTCCCACCCCACTTCTGCAGACTCAGCTGCGTGTAGGTCTGGAACCTGGCCCGGGAGCCTTTCACCGGGTTCTGCTGCATTTCTTGTCTGTTGCACTGGCGCTTTGCTGTATATGCATATATACGCATGCATATGTGTACATACATACATACATACATACATACATGTACGCGTACACACACACTGAAACCGAGTCAGGTACACATTGAAACATGCGTGCATGAGCCAGAAGCAAGGAGGAAGTGCGTGTGGGGAGGTTGGAGGTGGAGAATTCCCTCCGAGGAAGTGAGCAGTACGCCTGCAATCTGGAGTTGAAAATCCCCCAGGCCAGATGACACTGGCAGAGTCTCCCGGGAGCCAGGTGGTAGACTGGGGCGGAGGTGAGACAGAAAGCGAGACCCGGGAGAGACACCCGGAGCTGCCGCTTGCCGTGTAGTTAGTCCCCTCCCTTGCTCTGCTCTTGGCAAACTATGGATCTGTTTTCTGTGTATCTCTACCTACCTGAGATAGGTTCGAAGTTGTCAGTGCTGAGCTTGCACTCGCAATCCTCCTGTCTCAGCCTCGTAGAGTCCCAGCGAACTGTTCTTCTAGATATTTGCTTCCGAGGTCACCTCCTACAAAGCATGCAGATTGAAGGAGAGCAGGAGGCCCTGGGCGTGAGGTCGGGGTGGAGACTGGAAAGACAAAGCACAGCGGTCGCCGTGATCTTTCCAGTACTGTGGAACCCTGGGTGGTCTGACCAACTCCTAGCTTTTTGCCACAGATGAGTGGCTGTTTTCCCTGCTGGTTTTGACTGTGTTCCTCGAATTAGGCAACATTTCTGTTTCCAGGTGTTAATTCAAGACTCCTACAGCGAAGCGCCAGTGCGGACGGACGAGAAGGGCAGCCGAACCTGGTGAAGGACTCGCAGGCCATGTTCCAGACCTACAAGCAGCTGTACCTGCAGAAGCGGGGCAGGAACCTGGGAGGAAGCCCCGGGCCATGACCCAGCGTGCCCTTCCTCTGCACCTGGGGGCTTGTCATTTCCTGCCCGGAGTTTCTTGCCGGATAATCAGAATGGCTGCAGTAGAGATTGCCCGATTACCGTGAGGTTACGTATTTTGCTCATCCTGCTTCCTATAAATTACTTTACAGCTCCGTGAGTTAGCACAGGAAAGATATGGATGTTGTTTTCCGGGGAAGCCGGAAGGTATTTGATTTAGTGTTATTTTCTGAAGGCTGCGTGTGTCGCATTTGAAAACGCTGGCTGCCCCTTGGAGCGGGTGCTGCTCCTCTTTCGAGGGCTTGTTTATTTAACTGAGTTTGTAAATACACTTTTCTTCCTAAGCTTATGTTGGTAAAATTTATTTTTTCAGACATATCCACTGTGAATATCAAAGTATATTATTATGTATTTTGTACCTGATTGTAAACTTTTTTCCGGAAGTCTTGTTTTGTACTTGTTAAACTGAACAGAATTTTTGGATAACATCTTAGTGTTACTTTTCATACTGAAAGAACATTTATTTTTTAAAAATAAACCACTTGACATTGTCATGGCTCTGTTTCTTTACTTTCATTTAGAAACTACATTCACGGTGGGCCTTGTGGTGCACACCTCTAATCCCAGTACTTGGGAAGCTGAACCAGGAGGATTCACAGTTTCAGGGCCACCCTGGAAACACGGACATGGCAAGACTTCTTAAAAACGAGGCCACCCGGCCACTACTGTCGCTGCTGCTCCTTGCTATCCCTGCCATGGTGGGAGTGGGCACAGGTGGCAGCACTTGGCACAGCTGTGTGCTAACCTGTGGCTGCTGAGCAGAGCAGATATCCATGGGCAGCGCAGCGGGGCGTCCTCTAATTCATTGCTGTGGAAATGGGTGCCGTTAAGGAAAGCACCATGAAGGTTGCTGAGCCAGTGGTTTGACTGGGCCGGCGTGGAGAATGTTCTGATCATAGACAGCCAACACGGGTGATGACCACAAGGGACCTCCTGGAGCCAGCACCTGATGCTGCCGTCCAGAGCTGGTGGGGCCTCGCTGCACTGTGGGAGCGGACAGTGGCCACGTGGCCACACGGGACAGGAAAGCCATGAATTCGCTGTGTATCCGAGGAGGTCTGTGTGCTCGGCCTCCCTGTCCTGGCAACAGTCCACCCCAAGCCTGGTCACGGTGCTGCTTCTGCCCCATGATTCCTTGTGTGCCCCGGGGGTGGTCTGCATGTTAACCCCTGGGCAGAACCAGCCCTTCCGGTGATTAAGCACAATATGATTGGAATGTCGGAACTGGGGAGGGGCGCTCACTTGGTCAGCACTGCTTATTCAGAGAACAAAAAATGGGCCGTGTCCAGCCACGCAGTAGTGCAGTTCTTGTTTCTGTCTTTTTCCTTGCACACCAGCTCTGTTTCATAAAATAGTAAATGCTGCTGTTACAGACTTGAGGAATCCTGACAGCCATCTCAAGTGGGTCACTCGTGTTTTTGTTTATTGAGTCATGTTCTTGCTCCGTAATTTTTTTTTTTCCCCTTTTGAGACTGGGTCTCTCAATGCAGTTCAGGCTGGCCTTGAGCTCACTTTGTTTTTTGTTTTTTTTTTTTTTTTTGGTTTTTCTCCGGTACCGGGAACCGAACTCACAACCTTGCGCTTGCCAGGCAGGCGCTTTTGAGCTCACTTTGTAGCCCAGGCTGGTCTCAAACTCACAGTCTCAGCCTCCCGAGTGCTGGGATTATGAGCATGCGCCACCATGCCCAGCTTTTGCTCTGTTATTTTGACTGGCTTCAGATTAACTCAGTGATCCTCCTGCCTCAGCCTTCTGAGTGCTGGGATTACAAGCGTTTGCCACTAGGTCCAGCTACTTGGCTGTTTTGTGAAGTGCTTTTCATTTGTATTCTGTGCCATGCTCTTATAATGGGCTGTCACCAGTGTTAAGATTTTTTTTTTTTTTTTTTTTTTTGGTCTTTTTGAAACAGGGTCTTGCTATGCAGTTTAAGCTGGGCTTGAGCTCACTCTGTTTCCCAAGCTGTCCCGAACTCACAATGATCCTGCCTCAGTCTCCTGAGTGCTGGGATTAGTCATGCACCACCAGGCCCAGCTGTAAGATGCTGTTTACTGACGTATCACAGGTTTCTTTGAAGTGACACTGTTAGACATTCTGGTGTTAGCTTCTGTTCATGGGGCCCTGTGGACAATGTAAAGGATTTGGTTTGGTTTTGTTTTTTTGGAGACCCTGGATGGTCTCATACTTGCAGTGAGTGATCCTTTTACCTCAGCCTCCCAAGAACTGGGACCACAGGTCTGTGCCACTACACCTGTCATAGTTACTTTTCTCTTGTGAGACAAAATACCTGACACCCAAAGTTAAAGAAGGAAAGGTTTATTTAGCTCACAGTTTGTAGAGGTTTCAGTCCATAATCAGCTGGCTCCAAGGCAGGGTGACATGGCTGAGGAGCATCGCAGAGGAGAAACAGTTCATGGCAGGCAGAAGGTAGTAAAGCAAGCAAGGGACAACCATAGATCTTTTTACCCCTTTTATTGAGTCTGGTTAGGGAACATAGCACTCACACCCCTAATCCTAGTGCCCTTGATCCTAGCTTTTTTTTTTTTTTTTTTGTCTTTTTAAGACAGGGTTTCGTTATGCAGTTCAGGCTGGCCTTGAGCTCTCTTTGTAGCCTAGGCTGGCCTTGAACTTGCAGTGGTCCTCCTGCCTCAGCCTCCCAAGTGCTGGGATTACAGGCGTGAGCCACCACGCCCGGCCTTGATCCTAACATTGTACCATGAATCAATCTGCATCACACACTAGATCCAGCCACGCCTATGACCACATGTGGCTTTGGAGGGAACACCCGGATTGTGAACTGGGTGTGGTGGATCGCGCCTGTAATCCATGGCACTGGAGTTTGGGAATCAGATTCTCCTCAGACAACCCAAAACCACAGATGGAATGCCCGAGCAGCAGGGTGTGGTGGTGCACGCCTGTGATTCCAGCCCTGGGGAGGCTGAGGTGAGAGCGTTGTCTCAAACTGGAGGCCAGCCCGGACTACACAGTGAGACTCTGCCTCAAAAACAAAAAAAAAAAATTCTAATGACAATTTTTTTTTTTTTTCTTTGAGACAGGGTCTCACTATGGAGTTCAGATTGGCCTTGAGCTCACTTTGTAGCCCAGGCTGGTCTCGAACTCGCAACGATCCTCCTGCCTCAGCCTCCTGAGTGCTGGGATTACAGACGTGCACCACCACGCCCAGCCCCAATGACAATGTTCTTACAATCCATGAGTAAGGGAAGTCTTCATTGTGTTTTTAACTTCTTGGGGCTTGTTTTAGTTTTCTCTCAGTGAGACAAAATACCCAACACCCACAGTCACAGAGGGAGAGGTTTATTTAGCTCACACTTCGTGGAGGTTTCAGTCTGTAATCAGCTGGCTCCAAGGCAGGGTGGAAGGACACAGGGGCAACGGTTGGCAGAAGACAGCAAAAGCAGGAACGAGCAAGCCTCTTTCCCTCCCTCATATTGTAAGCAATCCCCCGGCCCCCAGCCAGGTAGGGTATAGCACTCAGGATATTTACAAAGTGAGGACCCCGGCCCCCTTGCTGAGTCCATAGTTAAACTTCTTTTTTTTTTTTTTTGGTTTTTTTTCTCCGGTACCGGGAATCGAACTCATGACCTTGCGCTTGCCAGGTAGGTGCTGTGCCCCTGAGCTAAATCCCCAGCCCCCATAGTTAAACTTCTACACTCAAGTTGACACAATGTATCAAGCATTACAGAGCTTTTCAACTGTTGCCCTGGTACTGAAGGTTGAACCCAGGGACCTGTGCCTGTAGGCATTCAGTTTATCAGTGAGCCGGAATTTTTATTGCAGAAGTCTTACTCCCTTGAATAAATGTGTTACTAGGTATTTTGGGTAGCTGTTGGAATGAGGATCATTTTTGTGATTTATTTCTCCGAAAGCTCTTCTCAGAATATAAAAGTGGAATTGTTTTGCTGATTTACTAAGCTCGGTTCTGATGGCCTTGGTGGCATCTGTAGGTTTTCCACATAAAGCACAGGGTAACTCGACTCTGATTTATCTGCCTTTTCTCTCTCTTCCCTGATTTTCCTGGCTAAAACTAGGAAGGCTGTGTGTGTGGAAATGCGTGTGTTGGAAGTGAGTTTGTCGTGAGTGGCCATGTGGTGTCAAGGTTCGCTCTTGTAGGGGCTGGGGATTCAGCTCAGCAGCACAGCACCTGCCTGGCAAGCGCAAGGTTGTAAGTTTGATTCCCAGTACCGGGGGGAAAAAAAAAAGGTTTGCTCTCCCACCTGAGTTGTCCCGAGTTTGTTATGAATGCACATTGAGTTCTATTTTTTGGTACCGGGAATCAAATCCAGGACCTCACCCTTGCCAGGCAGGTGCTATGCCACTGGCCCAGTCTTGAGTTTTAGCACGAACTTTTTATGCATCTATTGAGATGATGATGGTTTTTATTCTTCCTTATGTTGATGTGATATATTTATTGATTTTGAGTCTGCTGAGCCATCCTTACATAATTCCAGCATCACCTTGGTAAATGACTTTTCATTGTACTGGTGGATCTGATTTGCCAGTATTTTGTTGAGAATTTTTGCATTTGTGATCATCCCAGATACTGGCTGATAGTGTTTTTTGTTTATTTGTTTACTTTTGTTGTTTCACTTGTTAGTTTGTTCCTTTTATTTATTTATTTTTCCTTTGTTTTTTTAGACAGGGTCTCACCTTGTAGTCCAGGCTGGCCTCAAACTCAAGGTAATCCTTTTGTCCCAGCCTCATGAATGCTGGGATTACAGGTGTGTGCCACCATGCCTGGCTTTGGTTTTGGTGGGTTTTTTGGTTGTTATTGTTTAGTTGGTTGGTTTTTGTTTGTTTTTCAAGATAGTGTCTTGCTTTGTAGCCCAGGCTGTCCTTCAACACTCAACCCTCCTGCCTCAGCCTCTGCTGAGGTTTAGTTTTTACCATTTTTTCAGAGCCAGGCAGTGATGCATGTGACTGTCAGTCTTAGACTCAGGTTCTTCTCAGCAGCCAGCACACAACCAGCACCCTCCTCCTCCTTGTCGGGTGTTTGGGCCTTGGCCATTCGGCCCTTTCACCGGCCTCCACCTGCCTTTTCAGCCAGCTGGGTGCTCCCCGGCTTGGGGCCCAGGAATGGAGTCCCTGCTGTGGATGAGCACCTGTCTGTGTCCATCTTCTCCCTCTGCTAATAGCACTGGGCGTTGGTGATGTCACTGGTCCATCCAGACCCCTTCTGCCACAGCGAGGGCACTGAGGGAAGCCTCTTCTGAAGCCCTGTGATGGGCTACAGCCATAGGAAGGACACAGACGGCAGGAGGAAGGAGGACATGTAAAGGAAGAATAAGTTGGTACGGTTGGGCATGGTGGTACAAGCTTGTAATACCAGCACTTGGGAGGCTGAGGCAGGAGGATCCCAAGTTCAAGCCCAGCCTAGGCAGCCAGGGCCCATTTCAAAGTTTTACAAAAGAGCGGGGAATGTAGTTCAGTGTGAAGGCTATGTACTCTATAGTACCCAGAACAGTACAAAGTAGACAACAC